TTAAAGGATATAATTGTGACAAAGTCCTCTGTCTCCGCTCAACTGGTTTTGTCTGTACACTGGGATGAAGATGGGGTTAATTTGGAGAAAGAATGTTTCGGGTTTTCTCCATTTGGGGTAGGGGATGTAACCAGTAAGGAGTTTCTACATGCCTCCCCCAAGCTGAGTGCTGCACCAGCTACAGTTGGCTGTGCTGACCAAAATGCAAGGCCTGTCAGTGCAGGATGAGGGGTTCAGGCCTGGGCGTGGGCCTTATTTCCCAGCAGGCTCGAGGTGCTTTCCCATGTTCTATGTGCCTTTCCTTAAACACTCCTCCAAACTCTAGCCTGAGGTTCTGCCTACAGTCGTGGTGGGGCTTTTAAGAGAGAAGACAGCATTTGTTGTGATTTGTTTCCTGCCTAGCAAAAGGCACTACCTAACTCGATGTAAGACGTAGACACTTCTAGTTGTTTCCCAAATTTACCACCCAGGGGTATTATCAACCACAGTGTTGACTCAGTTGACTGGTGTTTCCAACCTGCTCACAGGTGATATGATGGTGTGTCCACAGAACATGCTTTGGATAAGACATTGCTATGGCATCTTTGGTTTTCCTGCAAGTGGGGTACCTTGCCTGCCCAAGGGGCACGTATGCTTAGCCCTTGTGACCATTGTTGCTGACAGAGATGTTGTCAACCAGCTTTAAGTCAAAAGTTTAGGCTATACCTTGGAGGTTCAGTCCTCCTCTACATATACTTGAGACCTGTCCCCACATATAGTCCATGGTATGAAAGGTCATAAAACCCTTAAAGGATATAATTGTGACAAAGTCCTCTGTCTCCGCTCAACTGGTGGAGAGATGCACCAGGCCCTGAGTTTGGACCACCATGAACTTGCTATGTCCAGTGGTCAGAGTCCTTTGCAAGAGGAAGTACCCTGAACAGAGGCAGGGATCCTGGGTTCTTATTCTACCTGGCAACTCTGCTCATGCTAATGCATGATCCCTTAACGGCTCAGGATGAAACCTAAGGAGCAAGTCTGATGGAAGGAAAGGACCTAAGTCAGTAGGAGAGTTACCAAAGAGGTAAAGGAGCAATACACCAACTCTCTGGAGTGGCTGGGGGATCCGATTCTGTTTTTCTGCCTTTGCCCCTTTCTGAGGAGAGTTAGATGTTATTGAGTTCCCAGCATGTAATGATCCCTGGCATTGAATCCTGAACTATTTCCTGGGTTCACATGGTAAGTGGAACCAAGAGTCTGCCGCTGCAGTGCCAGGCCCTCATCATCTGGTTTATTAGATCAGAGTGGTGAAAGGACTGGTATGTCCACCTTGAAGTCTGGCATTTCCTACTTATGCCTAAAGGAGAGACTGAGCTTTCAGCTGAGAGGGGCTGTATTTCTTTTTGAACTTGGCTGTGACTTTGCTGCTACCAGTTTTGATAAAAAGCAAAGGCTCAGATGTGACCCTTTTCTCCATGTCCCCAGCTTGTAGGCCAGGGCAAATGGTGAGGAAACCCTCAAGGACAAGACTGACAGTCTTCTGTCCTGGGCCCTGAGCAGTGGGTGGGAGGAAGGAATGTTTGGTGGCACACAATAGGCACTCAGTAAAGATGTGCTGAACAAAGGAACACAATTGGGCTCAGCAGATTTGAGATCACTTCAGGATGGGAGGTGGCCTCTGTCTTTTAGTCTAGGGCTAGAATAAGTGGTCTTGGGATCTCACCCGTGCTCTTCCCTAGTGCCACTTCTCTTGTAGGCACCAGGCTTCCTGGCCACACTGCCTATCAGCTATTGAGTCCAGGGGTTATACTGGGTCCACAACTAGAGAGCCAATTAATTGAGCACATTTTGTCCTAATTTCTGGTCTTGGCACTTGCTTAGACGCAAACATAGGTACAACCCTAGATCAGGTGCTTCCCTGTGTCCTGTGTACCTTTGCTTAAACACTGCTCTAACCACCCCACATTGGAGTTTATCTTTAGTGCTGGGGCACGTAGCTCTGCCTTTAGGGGAAGTACGATACCCCTGGATCCTCCCTAAGCCTCAAGCTTTGGCACTGCAGGAAAGATGAACGTAATCTCTCTGAGGCTGGTAGTGGTATAAGATCGGTTGTTGGGGTGGAAGTGAGAGTCAACTCCATGGAAAGAAGGGTGTCTGGGATAAAGGGAGTGTGGCAGGGATCCAGGATACTCAAAGTACACTTGGACAAAAGTCAAAACAAAATATTGCAAACTGGATGTTGAACTTCTGTCCTTGGCCTCATAGACACAGGTATCAAAGTTTAAATATTTGTGCTAGATCCAGATAAAGGAAGATATGTGTTTGGGGCACAGGGATAGAAGAGAGCTGGTTTCCCTATGTATGGCCCAAATCCAGGGCTAGTTCTTAGATTCCCTACTACTATCTTCCCTTGTTTAATATGTGGAAACCATGAGACAGGCAAGTCTGTATGGCAGCCTAGGAAGACATTTGGTGGCAGAGTGAGGGTTTAGTTAGTTCTGATTCTCTGGCCTGCATTCATCTGTCTAGAAAGGCACCTGTGGGAGGTGGGTTATGTTGAGGTGTCTGAGGCTGGAGGATAGGCTTATAACAGATGGACATCTTCTTCCGCAGGCACTGGCTCCAGCATCCTCTCGGCCCTTCAAGACATCTTCTCTGTCACTTGGCTCAACAGGTCCAAGGTGGAAAAGCAGCTGCAGGTCATCTCAGTGCTACAGTGGGTCCTCTCATTCCTGGTGCTAGGTAAGCACACCAAGGGTAGTGGTGAAGGGGGGTGTGGGTGGGCATAGTTACATCCAGTGAGACCAGCTTCTCCCCAGCCTCTTTCCATTTACTCCCATCTTTTGGGTCCGTGATCGAGCATTCCACCATTAGACATAGATGTAGTGTGGCTTCATTTTGCAGATTAACTTGCCCAGGTTACTTGAGTCTGGTTCTATGGGATGCCCGACGCTTGTACCCTTCTTACAATGCCATCTTGTCTACTGGCAGGTGTGTCCCTAGAGTGTGTATTGTCGGCCTGAGACTGCAGACAAGCTCTGGCCTTACATAAGCCTCTTGAGTTCTCTCAAAGCAAGCACCCTCCTCTTGACCATGAAGGTGATGCTGCCTGCCTCACATGGCTTTTGTAGATATCAAGGGATTGAAGATAAGGGTTGAAAGCTGCTACACAGAGCTTGGTGGTGGTCCCCATTGCAGGAATGCTGCTGTCAAAGACTGTCCCAAGATCCCAATGCTGGTCTTAATCCCCTTTGCGGAATGTACTCCCCAGCTGCTCTCCTGCTTTTCAGCACTGCCCGTGATGGCTTCGTGGTACTGTTTCTATAGGCCTGGTTAGGTGCCTCACTGCCTGTCAGCTAAAATCATCGGGGGGCGGGGGGGGGGGGCAGGCACTGCCTCCTGGGGCCTTCTCTTCATGCCCAGGACTTCTGTCCTCAGCGCAGGTTAGTCTCTGAGCACATCAGTACAGGCAGACCTGCAGAACACCATGTGTCTAGCACTTATGGCCAGGCCTCACACTGCCCAGGATGGTGGGAGCTCAGCAGACATCCGAATGGCAATGTGGGCAGCTGTCCTTAAGGCAGGCATGGAGCCTCTGAGGCCACATTGTAGAACAGAGGAACAAATCCCACAGTGTGCCAGGCTCTTGGAGAGTCTTTTCTCAAATTCCTTCTACATAGGTGAGAAAATGGAAATTCAGAGGTTCGGTGACGATCATGACACATTAAATGGCAAATTGGAGTTTGAGTCAAAGCCCAGCGCATTCATTCTCTTACCATGAGTGCCCAGAATTGATGGACAGAGACCAGCATAGGCTTTGGATTCACTGAACTCCTAAAATTAAATGCAGTTAAATACATTTTTATTGCTGAAAAGGCTATAGATATCCTCAGATTCTTACAGGGTCACATGGCCTCAGAAAGATGAAGAAGCAGTGGTTTGAGGACAGATAGTTACATTGGCTTTATTAGGACTCAGACTCTGAGTGTGCTTGCATTTGGTCTGCTATTAGAATGCAGGGTAGAGAAGACAATGTAATGTCTTCTTTGTTTAGACAGGAAGCAGGGACCTGGTGGAGACAGACAGAGCCTTGCCCCGAGTTATAGAAGAAAGTCAGGAGGATGAAGATAAGCACCAGACTCTCCATTTGTCTCCATTTGCTCTAGGCACCACCATCTACCTTGCCTTAGTGGGTCAGAGCCTGGCTGTGGGGCCCTGAGGACGTTGTGCAACCCTAGCCCATACGGCATGTGATAGGAACTGGCTCCAAGCTGTAGGTTAATGATCCCCAGCCACAGCCCAGAAACTGGCCCAGCGTGTCTTTCTAACATGCTGGTTGGTGTAGGAAGGGCCTACACCTGAGCAGAGGATCAGGTCTGCTTAAGCTGCTGTTAATTACTACCTGAGCAGTCCCAGCCACTCCCTCCACTGTGTCCCAAACCTGCTGGCAGAGGCTTACTCTGTAAGGCGAAGGCTGCCACGGAACATCTTCATTCTTCTCTTAAACAGATTTTTGTTTGTTTGGTTGGTTGTTTTGGTTTTTATAATGTGCTACAGCCCACTAGAATTCTGGTGAAAGCTGTGGACCTTCTTGGTTCTTTTAATTATATTAATAAAGTGTACTGGGTTTTAAAGGAACTAATAATGCTGAAATATAAATATTTAAACATTTGAAACCCAGTTGGACATTTAGTAATGGGTGCTTTTTTTACTATGGTGTTGTTATAAAGTAGCAGCTGCTGTTAGAATTATTAATCTTAAGTAGTAATAACTGAAAAGCCTTCAGGGTTGCTGAGATGCTATAATGCAATAGGAGCACATCTATTAGTGTCGTGTCAACAGGCTTTGGTAATACTTCTGTGATTTGTCTCTATGTGAAGGAAATGCTAAATTTCCACGTGATTCTAGTAGAAAATTTAGACGTTACTTTGCTCTCCCAGACAAGCCCACACAGCCTTACTGTGTTCCAGAGCATGTGTTAAATTCTAACATCATGTCATTGTATCATCCCTCTGTAAGAAAGTTAAAGGCTTAGGCATGAGTAGTGGCCAGTGACATGGCAGGGCCAAGTCACTGAGTTTGCTTGGTCCTAGAGTCCCTGCTTTCGACATCTCTGCTGATGAAGAGCACCCACACACTGCCCTGTACCACCAGCCTGGTACAGAGCTCTGCAGTATCAGTTGCTGTGGCTACCATGTATGGGAAGGGATGAACACAGGTAGTTCTGAGCATTCTCTGTGTGGTGCAAACAGGCTGTTCCAATCACTGTGCTTGCATGCCCTGGGCCCAGTGGCATTGGCGGGCTTCAGCCTCATTACCTGACAACATGATGTAGGAAGCTGTGGTAGATTCTCCAAAAGGAAGATCATTTTATGGGCTTCCCAACCCTCCCTCCGTAAAGGTTTTTTTTGATACAGGATCTCACCATGAAGCCATTGTTGGCTTGTATGTATATATGTAGACCAGGCTGGCCTCAGCTCACAGAGATCCACCTGCCTCTGCCTCCAGAGTACTGCAAATAAATTGTATGCCACCATGCCCAGCAGGTAGATCATTTTTTAACTTAAAAAAGTCTATATTGGTGACTGGGACTGGTGAGGTTAATCTCACCTTGTTCTAGCTCCAGAGTTGCTCAGGGATTGACTCTATTGGACAGGCACATGGTGAGAGAAAATGCACATCCTGAGGGTGGGAGGAGCCCCCTGCTGCGTGGAGCCAGAACTAGAATGCCAGCTTTGGGCTTCTGTCACTTCTTTGTCACACAGAAAGGACAGGTATGTAGTGATACCTGTCCTACGCATAGCAGCCAGCCTCCAGAGATCAGGGCTACTTGGTGGTAGCAGGTCTTTAGGGAGTTTATATGGTACCTCTTTCTGAACTCTAATGAGTCTTGCCTGGCCTAATTGGAATGAATTGAGCCTTTGCGCAGACACTGTGGAGGCTAGGGCTGAAGTGGACCCTTTACTGGGACCAAGGAAGGGGGCCCGAGGCACATTGTTGGAGCAGTGTACCATGTGCAGCCTATTTATAAGCAGGACTCCCCCCCCAGCTGCCCTAGGACCTACACTGTCTTCAACAGGGTGTGTGGGCTGCAGATGCCTCCCCAAAGACCCCTGTGTATGAACCACTGCTAAGTTGTCTTTAAGAAACCACCTGCCTATTGTTGTAACTATAGCCTGATTTTCGCCATCCTAGGCCAGCTCCGGAGGAGGAGGGTGAGGACTACAATTTCCCTGCTCTTAGATTCACAGAGATCTGCATCTGGACTTATCCTTTCCCATGGACACAACTTCAAAACAGGCTTAACACTGTGGATGGAGAGGCCTATTGAAACCTGAGTTCTGCCTCCTCCCTAGTTGTGTTGAATGCTAGAGGGAAAAGATGTGACCCCACCCAGGGTGGAGAATTTAGAGGCAAGAGATTGGATGGTGGGGTAGTTTGATACTGAGGAGTACTCTAGAGGAACAACGGATCTGAATGGGGTTTAAAGGCTGGGTGAAAACTGGAAAGGGAAGTTGTGGTGAGGACATCTAGGGGTGGGCCGTGAAATACTGGCTCTCCTTCCTTCTGAGCCAGGCCATTAAGCCTTATGACTAGTCAGCAGGTCCTAAGTGCAGTGGCCACACAGAGAAGGCACCCAGGAGAATCTTTCCAAGTATTTGCGGGGAGGGAACCTGGTGGGTTCTGTCCCTATCCTGGAGCTGGCTGGCCTTCCTTCTGTTAAAAGGGGCAGCCCTCCGTGACAAGCACAAAAACACAGTGCTGTCACATTCTGCCATTTCTCACCTTCAGTGAACTTCTAAGGCTGAGTCTAGACCATGGACTTCAAAGTCTGAGTTTGAACCCTGGCTCTTCTCTGTCCTGCTGTTTAAGCATGGGCAAGTCACTCCTGCCAAGTTCTCATCTAAAATAGGATAAAAGTCACCCTGCTTTAGTGACGTAGTGGCTCAGCCCATCTTGAGCTGTAAAGGGAGGTGCTTGGTAGGTATTCCTTTGTCCGGTGTCTTTGATGGGCCCTGGCAAAGCGGTCATGCAAGGAGGAGAATTGTCCTAGTGCTGGTACCTCTAGCACTAGGACTCACCAGGGTCTTAAGAAGTGAGGCCTGTACCTGTCAGATCTGCACCTCTTCACTGAGCCACCCACCAGCCACACCCAGTACCTAGGCATCTGGGATCTCTGCCTAGATTAGCACGGTGGGGAATGCTTCACCCTTTCCTAAGGGGAAATGCTGCCCCAGCCAGGAGGAAGGAGCCTGACCTGCTGTGCTCTGCCTCCCCCAGGAGTGGCCTGCAGCGTCATCCTCATGTACACCTTCTGCACTGACTGCTGGCTCATAGCTGTGCTCTACTTCACCTGGCTGGCGTTTGACTGGAACACCCCCAAGAAAGGTAAGGTCTGGGTCTCCCACCTGCGCCCACCCCACACCCTGGGAAGCTCTGTCTGTGCAGCTGCAGCTCCTCATGGGTGCTCCCTTTTTTTTTTTTTTTTTAATGGAACACCTATTTTGTGAAGGACGTGGGCTAGGCTGTGTATGGCGGCTTGGGGTGGGTGATTCAGAGCGCCCTCTGTGTTCACAAGAGCTCACCCTTCATTAGGGGTGGCAGGGGGAATGTATGTGGGACGGGGCCACTGGGGCAGGTACAGAAATGCTGTGTGGGCTATAGGCACCGCCCTCGGGGGTTCATACTGGCTCTGGTCTCACCTGTGTTGCTCACACCCACTCCTTGCCAACATTGTGTTTTGTTCCCTGGAAGGTGGCAGGAGGTCGGAGTGGGTGCGAAACTGGGCTGTGTGGCGCTATTTCCGAGACTACTTTCCCATCCAGGTAAAGACATGGTGTGCTGTCTTGGGAGGACAGGAGTAGGTGGGAATAGGGCAGTGACTGTGTTGAGTTGAACTGTTTGGGATCTCCCACCATGAGCATCTGTCCATACGCGACTGACTCCATGCCAGATTGAGGACACGCTTTTGTCGATACATAGACTAGGTAAAGTGAAATCAAGAGCTTTAAGACAAAGCACTGTCTTCAGCCATGCAGGGAGCAGTGGCTACAGTTGAACATGGCAGCCAGCGCAGCGAGAGAAGCATGGTAGTTGCTGTCTTCTTGTTTGGTCCTTTGCGGGAAGCAAGACTTGTTTGGTTCTAAAAGATGATTCCACACCAAGGGTCTGTACAATGTAAGGGATCACCATGTGTTTTGTGGCATTGCTTCTCCTGAGAGGTTGAAGTACTTAGAGGGTGGGATGCCTGGGACGTTAAGGATGTGGCATTGAGAGGGTAGGGAAATATCTTTTTTTTTTTTCTTTAAGATTTATTTATTTATTATGTTTAGTGTTCTTCCTGCATATACACCTGCTTGCCAGAAGAGGGCAACAGATCTCATCTTAGAGGGTCATGAGCCACCGTGCTATTGATGGGACTTGAACTCGGGACCTTTGGAAGAGCAGACACTGCTCTTAACCTCTGAGCCATCTCTCCAGCCCTGGTAGGGAAATCTTGAGTCTGAGAAACATCTGTGTGAGGCGTGAGGCGAAAGGAGGCATCCATCACTTTCCGTTGCTCCCTACAGTATCCTAAGAGGAACCTGGAGGTTAGAGAATGGCAAAGCTTGGTGCAGCCCGAAGCCAGTGAGCAGCTGCATGGAGCTTCCGGTTGCTGTCCTGTCGGAGCCTAGGTCCCGCCCCGCCCCACCCTACCCCACCCCACCCCACCCCACCCCACCCCACCCCACCCCACCAAGGTGTACTACCTGTCCCTTCAGCAGCGCAGTCGGTGGGGGCACAGGTGCTCATGCTGGGAGAATGGAGGCCAGTGTGATCAGGGCGGGGCTCGGTCTTCCAGGACACAGTCTTCTTCAATGAAGCCAGTTTACAAGTCTGTGGGTTTCCTCCTAGTGTGCCCGTGGCTATTTGAGGGCTCTTTGCTTTTCTGGGCATTTGTCTGCTCTGGGATGGACCTGACTCCCCAGCAGGATCAGTGTTGGAGTCATCTTGGCTCCGACAGGCCCCTGCCTGGTCTGGAGGCTGGGCTGTGAGACAGTGATCTAGCCCTGGTGCACTGGAGGACTGTGAGTGGGCCTGAAGATTCCCCACAGCAGGGAAGACCTGTCTGACCTCTCAGCACCCAGCCCCGGCACACCCCTGCACAGCCCTGCACCGCCAGCAAAGGCAGAGCCCTGAGCACAGGAAGAATGTGAGTGCGGCCGTGTGCTGAGCCTGACGAGGTGTGGCGTGCCTTTGCTGGTATGTCCGTTGCTGAGCTGTGCAGGTGACTTGCATGGGAGGTGGTCAGGTAGCCCTGCATTCCTCCACCGCACTGCTGTGTGGGGGTGGCCCTAGGCTGCCCTGCTGGCCACTGGCATTCCCAGGACTTTGTGTTCCCTGCAGTTGGGCGTTCTTCTTCAGAGGGCCAAAGCTTGCCCGAGATGTCCAAGTCCGGGGCATGGTACCAGGCTTCTGACATGCAATCCAAGTTCTTTTTCCCTGACTGCTAACTACCCATTCCTCTGCAGAGACTTGGCCTCAGGTGTCTCCCCAGCTTGACAGACACCCTCTTCCCAAATCTCCTTGGCTGTTAGAATCGGGTTTCAGCTCTTGCTCTGCCATTCCGTTCGCCAACCTGCCATTGTTGGGGCCTGTCTGGTACTGGGCCCTTCACTTGAGCATGACTGATAAAGGAGAGTCAGCCCTAGGCTTATGGTCTAATCTGGTTATACTTTATTCTGTGTTAGCTTTCTCAGCCTTACCAAATGCCATTTGTCTCAGCTGCAAATTGGTGCTATTAAATGGTAAAAAGTGAGTTAACACTAGGGATATACTAGGTCTGCTCTGCTCTGTCTTCTCTGTCCTGGGTGCTGGTATCTTCCCAGACACTGAACTCACTCCAGGAAGCCTCTTGCAGGCTGGTAGCTCCCTTCCCAAAGCACGTGACCTAATGATTGTTAGTCAGACATGAGCATTCAGGTATTCCAGCTGATCTCTAACACTTTCAAAGACCCTGAGGATGGGCTGGAGAGATTGCTGGTATTTAAGAGGGCTGGCTGCTCGTTCAGAGAACCTGAGTTCAAATCCCAGCACCTACATACATGGCAGCTTACAACTGTCTATGACTCCAGTTCCAGAGGATCCAATGCCTTCTTCTGGCCTTTGAGAGCACTGCCTTTACATGGTGCATAGATGATAAACATTTGTGTAAAACACCTCTACATGTAAAATAAAAATATATAAATCTAGTGGGGTGTGGTAGCACATACCTTTAATCTTCGGTAAAGGTAGCCAGATTTCAGGCCGGTCTGGTCTACCTAGTAAAGCTATGTGGAGCCAGAGCTACAGAGTGAGACCCTGTTTCAAATAAATAAATGAATACATCCTAAAAAGACTCAGCAGAGCTCCATGTTTTCATTGTTTTTGTTGAGCCATGGGGCACCTGTGAGCTGCCCTGTGACGGTATCTGGGCCTCGCCCTGAGTGTGACGGGCTCTACACTTTGTCTTTTGCCGCTTTACGTCAGGTCTGATACTCTGTGCCCTAGAGCTGTGCGTGACCTGCCTGTTCCGCCCCTTTTTCCTGAGCTGCTGCCACGGGTTATGTAATGGAGACCTCCAGCTGGATCCATGTGCCCACCCTCCGTTTCTCTTATTAGAGTTCTCCTCTCCAAAGTCAGCCAGCAGGCCCAGAGGGCATCTCTTTGGCAATGGTAGGGCTGGCTCCTTCAGCAGCCACTGGGACTATAACTGCCTATAAGTGGCCCATGTTCTGGGGCTCTGGAGAGTAGGCATGACCTTTGGAGACTAGGAAAGGCTCTCTGGGTTTCAAATCAGCTGTCTCACTGCCTCATTTCCTAGATGTGCAGAGGAGGCCCAGAGAGGAGGGACTGTCCCAGGTCTGCAAGATCCTCTGCTGCCATGCCTTTCTATATGCCAGCAAACTGCTGCTGTTCTCTGGGACAGAGTGTCTTAATCTGTATGGGGCGAGGGTAGGATAAGCCTTTCCTGAGACCAGCGTGTGGGGAGTGACCTGCCAGGAATGTGCCCAGGCTTACACTCACCACTTGGCCTGGCCCAAAAGCCATTGTGCTGGGACTTTGTCACTCAGCAGGCATGTCAACAGAGCAGTGAGCAGCAGTGACCTTCGCCCTGCATACTCTGTTCAGTCTTGGGAAGAATACTGTGCCATGAAGACAGATGAAAGCTCTACCAAATGTCTCTATTCTTCTTAGTACTGCATGGGGGTCGTTAGCCTGTACAGTGTTCCAAGGATGTTATGAACCATGTATCCCGTTGATAAGAGCCTTGGGGAGGGAGGGAATTATTTAAAGAGCCAGCTAGGTCCCTAAGAGGTGGCTGGTCACTAACATAATGTACAGGGAGAATTGAAACCAGAGAGGCCTTGTGCCTGTGTGGAGTTGGTTCACTGTGGTTTCCTTAGGGGAGGTAGTGACTCTTCTCTCACTTGTTCAGCTTGTCATCAAGAAACAACCTAGATCATCAGGACACTCCAATCCAGGCTGTGCTTTGTCTCCCCCCAAGCCACTGGCTCCAGAGAAAGTTTCCAGCCCAGGACCAGTTACCTCAGCTCCTCCCTCAATGCCTGCCTTGCTGTAGACAGTGCTTCACTGAGAGCTAGTGAGATGGGCATACCTACCCGCTGTCCCAGGCGGAGCACAGAGCAGCAGCTGCCTTGCACAGCTCACATGCCCAGGTCCTTGGGGATTCCCTCACTCCACCCCATCTCTGGTTATTTGGTTAACGGCTGTGTAGTTTTCCGGTGGCACTAGCCTGCTTCCCAAAGGCAAAGTGAGGAAAGAGGACAAGTGTCCTACCCAACAGGGTGACACCAAGGGGGACTGAGAACAGTGCCAGACGCCCTGTTCCACCCCCATCGCCTCCTGCCAGCACTCCTCTTCCCCAGATTCAGCAGAAGGTCCTTTGCTCTGTAGGAGGTGCCCATAGCTGAAGGAAAGGAGAGTTGGGTCCTTTAATATTCTTCCAGCAGCCAGGGACTCGGCTAGCCAGCGCCAGCACAGGAAGGGGTACTGCCAAGCTCGTAGGCGGGATGCTGTAAGTGCCCTCTCTCCAAGGCAGGGCAGCCCCAAACCAATATATTCACTCCTTGACTCAGGAATTGTGTTTCTGGAAGCTTAGCTCACAAACAGTTGGAAATGTGGGTTGGAGACTATTTGTCAATGCATTATTCTAGGATGAAAAGTGTGGCTACATTTAAAATGTCTATCAGCCAGGATTTGAGTGAGTGTCATATGTGCCGTGGCTGTGGATTGGGGAAGTGCATCTTGGAGGAGGCCAGTCCTGGGCTTTGCTAAGCATAGCCAGATAGGACATGCTTCCTAGAAGATGGTACTAATGCTGCGGCCTCAATTTTGTGGGGTTTTTTGTATTGTTGTTGTTGTCTTTATTGTCATTATTATTACTCCCAGGATCTCACTTGTAGCCGTGGCTTGCTTGGAACTCACTATGTAGACTAGGCTGGAAGGCCTGTTTCTACTTAACTAGGAATAGGAACAAGTGGTTTATTTCAGTGGAAGTAATGCAGATGCTCATTTTCACTTTGCTTTCCTGTGTTTAAAAATTCTGAGTTTTTTTTTCTAACTTAAGAGAGTGATGTCTTGGGAACAGAAAGCCCTTCTTCCTCTCTTTCCTTAGCAGTTCCATTCCCACTGATCAGGGTTTTCAGGCACCTAGCCTCAGGGTCCTTAGGAAGCCAGTTAGCATTTGGAGAATCCCGGGATAACTAGTTCAGATCATTAGCTGCCACAGCCACACAGCCAATCACCTCTCCCCTCCTCCCACAGACAGGGCTGCCTGGCATGAGGGCTGATATTTGCCCTGTCCTGCCCTGCCTGTCTCAGAACCTGCACTAAACCTGGCTTCTTTGGTAGGAACTTTGGACTGGTCCAGCTGTACCATCCTTTTGTTCACCCTGGAGTGTAAAGAGGTGGGAGGCGGGCTACATGGGCTTGTCCTTTGAGTGACGAAGAGTCTGCAGTGTTCGGGGACTAGGCAGACCCTCTCCAGGGAATTCTTGGTGGTAGACCTGAAGCCATGGCTCTGCTTGCCAAACAGACTCTAGACTGTACACAGTGAATGTGGGTTCCCCTTTTTTAGGTCTGGGTGTTCCAGCTTGGATGTGAGTTTTAGGGAAGTCACTGTGGTAAGGAGCCCAGCAGCAGGAAGGCAGGAGGCTGGTTGAGCATGTATTATTGGTTTGGGGCTGTGTTTGGCAGGGAAATAAGGAGGAAGAAGGAAAAAAGCAGCCACCCAGGGACTCACAGCCCAGTATCTGCCAACCACTAGCACTGTGGTTCCAATGAGTCTGAGTACAGGTTTGGAAAGTCACTGTTGTCTTGGGCGCTTAGCATAACAAGGTATGAAACATCAGGTCCTTTCCCCACTTTTTGGGTATGCCCTTGCCAGTTCTAACATACGATTTCCTTATAGCTGGTGAAGACACACAACCTGCTGACCACCAGGAACTATATCTTTGGATACCACCCCCATGGCATCATGGGCCTGGGTGCCTTCTGTAACTTCAGCACAGAGGCTACTGAAGTTAGCAAGAAGTTCCCCGGCATAAGGCCCTATTTGGCTACATTGGCTGGTAACTTCCGGATGCCTGTGCTTCGGGAGTACCTGATGTCCGGAGGTGAGGACCCACTTCAGCTGCACTGATCATAGCCATACTGGGAGCTGAAGGACCATTCCCATGAGATAGAGACAGCCTTCAGCAGGTGTGCGAGGTCAGGAGCTGTCCTAAGCTTCAGGCTGCCTCATGGATGACACCTTGTCGCCCCTTTCTAGATGGACCAGCCACTGTGCTGCCTATTGTCTGTGCACGATCCCCAATGGCTGGACTTCAGAGCTGGGGCTTCACAGATTTTGCAGAATTTTTTTCCTCAAAACTACTCCATATCAGTCTCCTCATTTTATAGATAACTGAGGATCAGAAAAACTTCTGACCATATATGATCATATATATTCTATGAGGGTAACAGGTCTGGGACCCACCCCTCTAGAGGTTTTTATTTTATCCTTGATTATATGTAAGGCTAGGGAGTGCATCCATGAGCATTCCTGACTCTTTCCCCTCACTCCAGGCATCTGCCCTGTCAACCGAGACACCATAGACTACTTGCTTTCAAAGAACGGGAGTGGCAATGCTATTATCATCGTGGTGGGCGGTGCAGCCGAGTCCCTGAGCTCCATGCCTGGCAAGAACGCAGTCACCCTGCGGAACCGCAAGGGCTTCGTGAAACTGGCCCTGCGCCATGGGTGAGTACCTGTGCACACCTCTCTAGTATTCCCTCTAGGACAGTGGGCCTCTAGAGTTGGTGCCCAGACCCGAGGAAGGCAAAGAAAGAAGTGCCCACACTTTGTGGCTTGGCTTGTCCAAGTTAGGTGGTGCAAAGGTGTGACCTGTTATTCCTGGGCACTTACAGGTAGACTGAGGCTAGGCGTATATGTAGGACATGTGAGAAGACTTCAAACTTGAGGGATCGGAGATGTGACTCAGTGGTAGAACAAATACTCGGTTTGTGAAAAGCACTGGGTTCAATCCCCAGTGCACAAGCAAATATATATATTCTCTCCCTCTCCCTCTCTCATAAACATACACATACACACACACACACACACACACACACACACACACACACACAGCCAAAAGTAACCTTTTTCTAGGGGAGCAAGACCAGGAAGGAGGTGGTATTGTTTGAAGCACCAGAGAAAGCTTGTTGGAGGAGTACCCTTTAGACAAGAGAAGAGCTGGCAGCTCGCAACTCTGATCTTTCTAGAAAACCAGGGGCATATTCTGTTTGATGAGCAAACCCACCTTCTAGCATCCCTTAGACTTCCTATCAAGTGAGGGGACCAAGTGTCCATTCCCTTAAGGTCTAAGCTCCTTGTGCTGTGTTATTGCTTTCCACCCATATCTAGGGTCCTAGAATGATGGGCGTTTTGTGAAGACAGGTTACCCACGGTGACTCAGTAGTCCAAGTCATCAAGGCCCCTTGGAATGTGCCTGCAAACAGAGCTCTTGTCTCAGGTTTCAGGAGAGGCTGTTCTATAGTGTGGAGTTGGGCCAGTGCTGTGTGCTGACAGACCAATGGCAGGGAAGGGATGGGGTCAGCTAGTGCGCTGAGGATGTGGCATGAGGTGAAGCTGGGGCTGAGAGGGCCTTGAGTTGGGCTGGACAGGCAAACAGCAGAGCCAGGCCTGCTGGCTGCAGTCTTCTCTGGTGACAGTGGGAATGGAGCCCAGTGGTTGGGGTCTGACTAATCTGGGCCTCTCTCTTGCAGAGCCGATCTGGTCCCCACCTATTCCTTTGGAGAGAATGAGGTTTACAAGCAGGTGATCTTTGAGGAGGGCTCCTGGGGCCGCTGGGTCCAGAAGAAGTTTCAGAAGTATATTGGTTTCGCCCCTTGCATCTTCCATGGCCGAGGCCTCTTCTCCTCTGACACCTGGGGGCTGGTGCCCTACTCCAAGCCCATCACCACTGTTGGTGAGTTCCTAACTTGCATTCTGAAGGCCATCTTGAGCATGTCAAGATCCTGGGCAAGTCAGCCAGCTCCGATGAGAGCCTTGTAATAAGAACCTTGATGAGCTGGGTACTGGGAAACATGAGAGAGATCCAGGTTGAGCCAGAGCACCATAACAGTGATAAAATACAGACCTGTCAGGAGAAGGTGACTATGTGACCATGCTGATGCTCCACTCTTCACAGTGTGCCCAGAGGGAGGGAGAGCCAGGTATGGCTGTGTGTACCTGTAATCCCAGTATGGAAGGCAGAAAAACAGGATCGCTGTAAGTTTGAGGTCAGTCCAGCCCTGCTAGGGCTACATAACAAGACCCTGTCTTAACATAAGATAAAAAACTGCCTAAAAAATTCTAAAACCAAGTTTTTTTTGAGAAACAGAAAGAAAAGTAAATATAGCTAGAGCATGGATCTGTGGGAACTAAGGAAAAAAAACTAGAGTGTTGTATGTTTGTATTTTGGACAAGTTACAGCATTCAGAAAATCAAATATTGGGGTGTGCATGTGTATACGTGAATAGGAGTGTTGAAGGTCACAGGCCAGAGATCTTGTGGACACATGTGGCTCTGAACAGCCGACTGGAATGTCCAAAGGTCCGGCAGTACCTGCATATTGACTGCAGGCATCTGCCTGTGCTCCCTGCAGGACAGCACCTGAGGGGACTGGGCGCTGCAGGGCCGACACGAGGAGAGCTCCGGGCAGTGTTTATTCATTCCACTGTTGTGTGTATGCATGTGATTTCAGGGCTGACCTCTTGGAGTTGGACTACCCAAGGGGACTTAGGCTGGGAAGACATTGCCTGTAGTCTAGGAGTGCCACCCCAGGATGTCCTGTCTATGTTACATGCCGGTCCACCTCATCATTGTTTAGCATCTTGTTCAGGCAGGCGTGTTATTGAAGTATCGTGGATTTAGCTTCCCTGTCATTTCTAGGAGACAGAATCTCTCAACAGAATTCCTGGTTCTCTGGCTTTTACAGTCTTTCTTTCTGTTTCCTCTTCTGAGATGCTCTCCAAGCCTTGAGTGTGGGGGTTGTCTTGTAGATGTATCAATAAGGGCTGAGCACTCCAAGATCAAATTCTGACCAATTGCGGCTTTCTGTAATCGCCTATGCCTGCTATAAAGCTAAAAAGAGAAGCTTTTTAGAGTTGCACTTGCCTACAAATTTAAGTGATCTGGGTCTGCTAGGTAGAGGGAAAAATAAAGCATAAGAATGGGTCAAAGGCAGAAGCCAGGAGGCTAGTCTGCAGTTTTCAGCAGCCCGGTCTGAAGGAGCAGCTGTAGAGAAGGATGTGTATGAACTTGGGAGAAGTCTCAGAACAGTGCTGCCCGACTTTGGGCTGGGCTTGAACATGAAGAAGGACAAGAGAATAAAGCAAAGTGCAGGTGTGAGGGTAGTCTCCCCTCTGCACGCCCTTATCAGCTGCTCAAGTATGTTCCCTTCTTCCCAGAATCCTTAGAAAAGCTCTGAGACGATGCCAGGTGGCAGATGAGGAAACTGAGGCTCTGAGAGGCAATGAGTTTGTCCTGAGTGAAGCAAAAGCAAAGCCCTGTGTTTGGTCCACACCTTGGAACTCAGCAGTGTGAGCTGGGCTTCGCTTTCACTCAGGGGCCACAGCCTTCGGAGGGGTCTTCCCCATCTGGACAAAAGCACAGTCCATAGCACATGGTCAGCGCACAGCACGGGGTCACACCACAGTGGGCACCCAGGAATGGGCGCTCAGGGACACTAACTGACCGGAACCTTTGCCCCTCTCTGCAGTGGGGGAACCCATCACCATCCCCAAGCTGGAGCACCCCACCCAGAAGGACATTGACCTGTACCATGCCATGTACATGGAGGCCCTGGTGAAGCTCTTCGACAATCACAAGACCAAATTCGGCCTTCCAGAGACAGAGGTGCTGGAGGTGAACTGATCCAGCCCATGGGCCCAGTTCCTGGAAGGGACGACTGCAAATCCTTTTCTACCAAGTTCTCAAGTGCATTTTGTTCTGTAAATTTGGAAGTGTCATGGGTGTCTGTGGGTTATTTAAAAGAAATTATAATTTGTTAAACCATTGCAATGTTAGATCTTTTTTAAGAAGGGAAGAGTCAGTATTTTAAGCTCTCTTCTAGTGTGTCCTGCTCAAGGTGGTGGCTAACATTTCTGGACCTTGATGGTTTCTTATTTACCCTTCTAATGTTCCCCAAACAACAGACACTTAGCCCTAGTTAACTGGGGAAAGACAGCCCTTAGTAACTTGGCCGCTTAGGTAATCCCTGTTGCTCCAGGGATTCTCAAGATGGCAGAGGCTATCTCCATTCCTACCACCTCACATGTGACTGCAGGTCTGGTCCTTCTTGCCAAGCGGAGGATGGACGCAGAGGGCAGAGTTGGCCCCATTTGGGCAGAGTGGCAGATAGCATCTGGAATGCCTAGCTTGAGTCTCCTCCCTGCTGCTCACCAACCCCTTTTCTCCAATCTGAGCCTACCCTGGCCTCCTGTATACTGTGCTAGGGACAAAGATGTCCCACAGGTACTGTCTGAGTTATTTCGCTTGGCTGGTTTTACTCTGGAGGCTGCTATCGTGGACTCGGCATGGCTCAGTGTTGATGTGGAGCACATTCTCCCAGTCACCTGAGCTCTCCTGAGCCACACCCCAAGTCTGGTGTGTGGAAGGGCCTCTCTTCTGTTCACAGAGGGACCCAGCTTCCTGAGCAGCATACTGGGTCCAGGACAGGAGGCCCCCTAACCCAAGCCTCACATGTGTGCCTTTCTGAGGCATTGGGCCAGGGAAGAAAGCCATCCCCTCCTGTGTATTCTGTTTTTTCTCCATGAGATTGTTGTGCCATGTCACACTTTTGTATATTCCTAGACTAATAAATGGAAATAAGAACTGCCTGTGAGTTGTTTCATGCTGTATTTACACACTGTCTGTCCTATTGCACAGGGCAGACAATAGTCTTCTCTGTGCTCCTATCACAATCCATTAGTCTTGGGCCTTTACTGGCTGGGTAACAGTAACTGGCTTCAAAATTTAGTGGCCACAGAGCTGGAGATAAGGCTCCGTGGTTAAGAGCACCAACTGCTTAGGATCTTAGTTCGATTCCTGTTATCCACCTGGTCTCTTACAACTGTCTGTAACTCCAGTTCTAGGGATTTGATGGCCTCTGTGGGCACAAGGCACACAAGTGGTATAACAGACAAGTCTCTGCCAAGGCAGTCCAGGGCTTGGAGGTGTTGACCGGGGCTAAAGACACCCTAAACCTGAGCAAGGAAGATCCATGTCCACTGTTCATGTGGGTGACGGCAGGACTCCCTCCCTCACCCAGCTCTTACCTCACGGCAGAGAGAGGAGCCAGCATGCAGTGAGGAACATGGCCTTGGGAATGATGACTTAGTCTTGCTTTCATTAGACGTGAGGAGGAGGTGAAATACCAAGAGGCAAGGGCCAGGTAGCCATGGTGAAGCTCATGCCATGTATGAGCAGGTCCTACATAGAACAGCAGAGTTAGAAGGGTCCTTGTGAACTATTTAAGCAGCCCCCTTTGCTGGGCCTCAGCTAAACTAAAAAGGCGAGGACCAGGCCTGATGTGGTGACAGGTCTCAGAATATGCTACCCCTCTGTTTTTTGTTCATTCAGTTCTGTGACTGCTCAGCAGCCAGAAGGAAACCCGGCCCAGTTAGAGCACAGACCTCATTCCAACCTCCTTACTGCCGTCCCTCCACCTCAGGGCACCTCCTCCGCCTAAAGCTGTGAGTGGGCCTCAGAGACCATGGGAATAACGGAGGACACGGAGGGCTGTGACAGACTCTGTAGCCTAACCTGGAACGTCATTGAAGGTCTAGTGACTAAGCTGGGCCTCGGAGCAGAGCTGGAGGTTTGCAGGCAGAGCACCAGGTGCAAAGATGGAGAGGCCTGCACTCCACTGCCGCTGTTCTACACCCAGTGCCTGTGGACGCCGCTGGGTCTGTGAAGCTTGAGGGTGGGGTTTCCACAGTCCAGGTGGCAGAGAGGATAGAGTAGGAGGAGGCCTTTGCTGACTTCTGTTACACTTGGCAGTCCTCAGGAACATGAGAGCTCAGGCCAGAACACAGCCATTGCTTTCTTTCTTTCTTTCTTTTTTTTTTTTTTTTCTTTTTGGTTTTTTGAGGCAGGGTTTCTCTGTGTATCTCTGGCTGTCCTAGACTCACTCTGTAGACCAGTCTGGCCTTAAACTCAGAAATCTACCTGTCTCTGCCTCCCATGTGCTGGGATTAAAGGTGTGCGCCACCATCATTGCCTGGCTTAGCCATTTTCTTTTGGTAGAGCCTAGTTTCTGATGAGAGCCTCAGACCCACACCAGATTCCTGGTCCCAGCCCCAGTTCTGCAGCTAACTGGACAATGGACAACAGATATAAAAACCTCTAGCTCCAGGCTAAGCCCTGGCCCTAACCTAGTCTACCCCATGATGGAAGGGCATCCGTAAGGATTACATTTCTTATCAGTGAAAGCCTACTATTTACTAGGAAACTCAGTTACCTCAGTGTAGGCAATAAGCAGGTCCCGAGTCCCAGTGGGATTACCTTACACAGCAGAGCTGTGTACTGGCAGCAGAGCTGAAAACAGCCTTGATCTGTTATTGCTGGGGAGAGGGGGCAGGTGCATGCTGGGAGGTTTGCCTTGGTAGAAGGAACTCCCTTATCAGAAGACTCTCTGCTGTCCAGGGAGAATAGGCACTGCAGTCTTACTTAGCCTTCTGAAGTGTCATTTCCATGGTTCTTCCTGTGGATACCAGACACAGCCACCAGGGGGCACTGAGATCAGTTCTGTGGCAAATGTGGCATGGCTGCCTGAATGCCTTACATGTTGATACTTAACCTAGCTCCTGTCCTAAGAAGCAGCTACAGAGAAGTGGATTCAGAGTACCAGACAGAAACTTAGCCAACCCTCTAGAATACATTCCCTGGGAACTGGGAACCTGGGTGTGGAGGGGCCAAAGGGCCTGCCACCATCACATGGCCAATCAACACTCAGTGCCTGAATGCAGTGCTCTGGGTTCCTGGGCTCTCAAAACATTAAGATTATGGGGCATAACCTCCATTCTTTATTTCCCTGCAGTTCTGAGAACTGAATTATTTCTGTCTCCATCCCTAAAATCACAGACAGGAGGCTGGATCCTGCTAAGACATGCAGACACCGTCCACGCCACCCTGTTGTGTAGCTTCTACATGCCTCTGCACCTGTAAAATGCATGTATCTCTATTCCCAAATAACAGAAAATACTGACATCTAACAGGAGCTGAAAATGTTCATGGCTTAGCCCATAGGCCCCATCCAGAAAATGGTAGCTGTGATGGTAAGCTAACTCTGTTGTTGGAACACAGCAACAGCTCTAGGCAGCCAGTGCATAGGAGTGGACCAAAAAATGGAAAGAAATCCAATATATGAAGTAGAAGGTAGGGTTTGTAACAACAAAGTTAGGCTGCTTTAGAAGCTGAGCTCACAGACAGGTGGTGGTGCACACACCTTTAATCTCAACATTTGGGAGGCAGATTCTCTGAGTTCAAGGCCAGACTGATCTACAGAGTGAGTTCCAGGACAGCCACAGCTACACAGAGAAGCCCTGTATCAAAACAAAACAAGAAGCTGAGTTTAGTAAGACATCCTCACAGCCTGACTTTTAATCTCACGCTGTCGCTAGGATCCACAAAACTGCTTACCACCATGTCTGCCACGTATCACACAAGTGAAGTGTCTTAAAATCCAAGCTTTGCTACAAACGGTATTTCATGAATGTAATCCAGCACTGGGTTCCAGTTGTTTCCAGCAGTGGAAACAAGAGGCTCAAGAGTTCAAGGTCATCATCCTCTACTACATAGTGGGTTGACAAAGAGAAAAATTCTCTTCTCTCCTTAAAAACTCTATTGCCATAGCCCCAACCTTGAATAAAGTGACTGACTGTTCTTTAATAAGTCAGTAAATTAACAAATTGATTAACATTAAGTCTTACTGAGCCAAGTATTATGAAAAGGGTAAGGCATGTTTTCATTTTAGTCTTGGAAGTTATAAAACAAACAAGATTTGCGGGGGTGGGGGTGAGAGGGTTTCTCTGTGTAGCCTTGGCTGTCCTGGACTCACTTTGTAGACCAAGCTGGCCTTAAACTCTCAGCAATCTGCCTGCCTCTGCCTCCTTGAGTGCTGGGATTAAAGATATACACCACCACTCCTGTTTAAGAGAAGATTTTTTAAAACAAATCTCACAAGGAAACTGCAAATACAGTGCAATGAAGTGAGTTAAGCGCAGACACTCTGTTCTGTAACCTAATTGTTACCCTAGTGGTCATCTCGGTGCTGGGCACTTACCTTTCCTGCTTAGGGTCCTGGCTTAAGTCTCAGATGCCCCACTGCAGAAATGGGAAAGTGTAACCACAATGAAGCCAGGGAGACTGTGGGAAATTCAGAGAAAACTGTCACTACCACATACAATCTTCATACCTGACTCAAATGTCATTTGTTTTTTTGTTTTTGTTTTTGTTTGTTTTGTTTTGTTTTGTTTTGTTTTGTTTTGTTTTGTTTTGTTTTGTTTTGTTGAGACAAGGTGTCTTTATATAGCTCTGGCTATCCTGGAACTCACTATGTAGACAAAGTTGGCCTTGAACTCACAGGAATCCATCTTCCCATGCCTCAAGATGTGTGTCACCATGCCTGGCAGCATTTTCCCTAATGTATATTTCAGCAAATGGATCAAGTTCAAGGTGACATGTTACTTAATTTTCCTTTTCCCTGAAACAGTTGCTCTATTTTTTTTCTTGATGGTCTTGGACAGTCTAGATTGAACACAGGGCAGATTCTCTCAGAAGACAATACAGGTTTCCTCAGGTTGACTGAGGCTGTCTGTCTCAGAATGGTAAACGCTTTTCTCATCACACAATTTCACTTGGTCTGAGGGACAAGAGTCACAATCACTCATAATTAATATGGTGACTGCAAAAAAAAAAAAAAAAAAAAAAGTAAAGTTAGGCTTCCCAGCCCTCAGGAAGCAGAGATACACAGATGTGTGTGAATTAAAGGGCAGCCTGGTCTACAGAGTGAGTTCCAGGACAGCCAAGGCTACACAGAGAAACCCTGTCTCGAAAAACAACAAACAAAAAGTGCTTCTCAGGTAGCCAGGTGCCATGGCACACACCTGTAATCCCGGCACTCAGGGAGGCAGAGGCAGTGGATCTCTGTAAGTTGGAAGCCAGCCTGCAACACAGGGAAACCCTGTCTTGGGGAGAAAAAAAAAAAAGCCGAAACAAACAAGCAAGCAAACAAACAAATGAATTCCTCAGGTGTTGGTGGTGTGCACCTTCCTTTAATTCCAGCCCTCCGGAGGCACAGGCAGGTGGATCTCCAAGTTGGAGGTCAGTCTGGTCACAGAGTGAGTTCCAGGACAGCCAAGACTGCACAGAGAAAGCTTGCTGCAACCCTCCATTTCCCCAAAAGTTCCTCAGGCATCCTCCTGCCTCAGCCTTCCCAGTAGCTAGGCTCCAGCTGCACACCACCAGGTCTGGCTGTACCTCATCTTCCCTGGATTTTGCCACCTTGCTCCAGCAGTCAGCTATCCGTCACCTTCATTACCCGCCCTGGTTCCCTCCCTGCCCTGGGTGGAAACCCTCCTTATCATCCCTGGTTTTGTCTTTCTGCTCTGGGACCCTCTCTCACACTGATGCCACATTGTTCATAGCTCTTTCCTTGGAGGTTTAGGGAAGGCTTTCTTCTTCTTCTTTTTTTTTTTTTTTTAGAAGAAAAGGGGAAGACCTGAGTAGGGAGTTTTGCCTTTGAGTTGCATTGCTTTGTTTGTTGGTGGGATTGCAGTTCTTACCCTCTGGCAGAATTCAAGTAGTATAATTTCTTTTTATAAAGATTTAAAAACAT